GATTGCGGTGGAGGTTACACAACGGTGTGCATTTGTCAGAACTCATAGAACTGTACGCTCAAAAGGGCGAATTTGACTGCATATAAATTATATCTTAATAAAAAAGAAAATTTACTGTCTGGCCGGCATGGCTCAGTGGTTGAACATCGACCAATGTACCAGGAGGTCACAGTTTGATTCCCGGTCAGGGCACATGCCCAGGTTGCAGGCTCGATCCCCAGTAGGGCGCATGCAGGAGGCAGCCAATCAATGGTTCTCTCTCATCATTGGTGTTTCTATCTCTCTCTCCCTCTCCCTTCCTCTCTGAAATCAATAAAATATTTTTAAAAAATTATTGATTTATTTTAGAGAGAGAGGGAGAGAGAGAAAGAGAGAGAAACATCAGTATGTTGTTCCACTTACGTATGCATGCATTGGTTGATTCTTGTATGTGCCCTGACCAGGGATTAAACCCACAACCTTGAAATATTGAGACGCCACTCTTACCAACTGAGCTACCCGGCTAGTGCTATACCTTAATTTTTTAATTTAAAAGTCATAGAAGAAAAGTATAATGAATAATTCAATTTAGGAGTATATTCATATAATGGAATACTACACAGTGAGGAATAAAGTACTACGAAAGGAAACATGGATGGGTCTCAAAATTATCATGCTGAAGGAAGCCAGACACAAAAGAGTAAGAGCTCTATGATTTCACATAGATGAGGCTCTAGAACAGGTGAAACTAATCTGTGATAGCGGCCAGAAGAGTGGTGACCTCAGAGTTTAGGTAACTGGGAGGGACCATGAAGAAACCTGGGGTTGGAGACACTCCTGAACCTTGAGCTGTGTGCTGGTTCTTCAGGTCTCTGCTCTATGTTTAACACGTGTGCCCTCGAGGAAATGTTGACTATTCAACTGAACACACACACATACACACGAAAAAAACATTATTTTGTTACGTGAAGCAAAAAAACATTATTTTGTCCTGGCTGGTGTGGGTGTGGCTAAGTTGGTTGTGGGTCGTCCCATGCGTCAGAAGGTGCTGGGTTCTATTCCTGGGCAGGGCAAATGCCTGGGTTCCTGTCTGAATCCCCAGGAAAGGATGCAGGAAGCAGCTGATGGATGCATCTCTCTCACATTGATGTTTCTCTCTCTCCCTTTCCCTTCCCTTCTCTCTAAAATCAATTTAAAAAAATATTATTTTAATTTTATTATTATTATCTTTTAGTATGAGGGTACGTTTATTAAAGCTGGGGACAGTGAAACAAGGAAGGGCTTAGCACAGAAGAAGCAACAGCAGAGCCGGGGCTGGGCTGCTTTAGCTCATGGGGAAGTCAGAGAAAAGGGAGTCTTAGAGACGGGTTCAGGGATTAGCCCAGGTCCAGCTCCCACTGCCCACAGCTCCTCTGTATCCCTTAGAGCCGTGGTCGGTAAACCGCGGCTCGCGAGCCACATGTGGCTCTTTGGCCCCTTCAGTGTGGCTCTTCCACAAAATACCACGTGCGGGCGTGCACGTACAGTGCAATTGAAACTTCGTGGCCCATGCGCAGAAGTCGGTGTTTTGTGGAAGAGTCGGTATTTTGTGGAGGAGCCACACTCAAGGGGCCAAAGAGCCGCATGTGGCTCGCGAGCCGCGGGTTGCCGAGCCGCAGTTTGCCAACCACTGCCTTAGAGCTTAGGAGACGCATGCCTGTGGGGGAAGGAGAGAAGGGACGGAATGGCACAGGCACGTTCCCCAGAGGGAGAGCGCGCTGAAAACATTATTTTTTTAAAATTGTCATTGCAAGTCACCTGGAGAGCAAGTCCGATGATGCCCAGGCCCTGGGCCTGCCCGCTGACTTGGCTAGGCCTGGCACAGGCCAGATTCCCACTTGTGCCCAACCGCCTGCAGCTCTTTAACCACGTGAGCCAGCCGCACATGGTTCCTCTCAGACTAGAATTCCTGCCCCACCCTGGCCCAAGCAAAACAACCTTTAAAATTGGCCAGCAGCCCAGGATTTAAACCACTTCCTTGTCTGATCCTCTTCCCTTTATGAGCATCCAGGAAGACAGTTAGAGCTTCTCTTGCTGGAGGGCTGGGGGATTGGGCACCTCTGCTTCATCCCTAGAACTTCCCAGAGTCAGAAGGGACCCTGGCCTGATTTGGAAAGGTGAACCCCTCCCCCAGCCTCAGGCCTGCACCAGGGCCTTCTCTTGTGGAAGTTTTGTCTCCTGGCTTGCCCCAAATCCCCTCCCTGCCCTCCTCTTCTGTTTCCCCTGCAAAATGAACTGAAAACTGCCCTGGTGAGCTGGAGATAATATGTAAAAGTGTCTGGAGCAGACTACGTGCCCTGTGACTGCAGTTATGACTCTGATGGTGGGTGATGAGGGCAGACATGGCTGTGCATGTCAGCACCTGGCACACAGCCTGGGCTTTGTTAGACACGCAGTGCCCGTAGCTCCCTCCTCCCCATGTGGTCTGATCCGGACGGATGGAGTGGGAAGAGTACACTGAGAGCTGAAGCCAGGCAGCCCAGCCCCACCCCCTTGGCTGCTCTGGGACCAAGGCAGGAAGTGAGGAGTGAGACAGTCCTGGATTGCTGGAATGCCTACTTTGAGTATATCTGCTGTGTGACCTGGGGCAAGTGAGTGCCCTCTCTGGGCAACGTTGCCTTCCTCCTCTGTAAAACCAGATAGGGGGAGTCAGGAGACCATCTGAGCACTTGGGGTGGGGCAGACAGTTCTCAGCAGGATAATGCTCAGGGCTCACTCTTTTACTCAGGGGCCTGCACAGCTGTTTCTTCGTTTCTGGGGCAAGCTCCCTCACCCAAACAAATGCTGGCCTTTGTGTCAGCTGCCTGCTTGGTGGATGGGGCAGAATGTTTACAGAGTGTTCTAAGTGTGTGTGTGTGTGTGTGTGTGTGTGTGTGTATGTTCTGGAGTCTTCAGGGCCCCAAACTCCCTGAGCAGAGGCCCGGTCCCCAGGTACCTACACACACACACACACACACACACACGTTGTGTCCTTGCAGGGGGCTCTGGAGCAGGAGTAAAAACCAATCGTTTAGGTATAACAAACTTGGAGGTCAAGCTGAAGACAGGGCAAGTGTTCTTTAGACTCAGCCTTGGAACCCGGAGTCCCTTCTAATTGCTAGAAATACTCTCACATCCCCATCTGCAAAACAAAGTGAATAATCATCCCACCACCTACTTTGGAAGGTAGATGAACTTCCACAGAAAGTGGTAATGACTCCTGCCCTGTGTGTACTCTGTATCAGACAGCATCTTATGTGTACATTTGCAAAGGAGTCCCTGCAATCACCAACAGCTCACAATGGTGGGGGTGGGACGGGAGTGGGGGGTAGTTAACAGAGCAGTGGTATTCCCAGAGGATTTCCTGAGACACCAGGTTTGGGCTTGGGACCAATTCTACCAGATTGGCGGTTTCCCATTTGCTGATCTTGAACTCAACATCTCCTAGGTCAGCAGTTCTCAATCTGTGGGTCGCGACCCTTTTGGGGTCGAGCGACCCTTTCACAGGGGTCGCCTAAGACCATCGGAAAACACATATATAATTACATATTGTTTTGTGATTAATCGCTATGCTTTAATTATGTTCAATTTGTAACAATGAAATTAGGGGTCACCACAACATGAGGAACTGTATTAAAGGGCCGCGGCTGTATTAAAGGAAGGTTGAGAACCACTGTCCTAGGTGGTGGACGGTCTGTTGGGCACTGGGGATACTGAAGAAATCCATTTCCCTGAGAGGGCATTGGATTGGTAAGTTGGTAGACTTCTGAGAGTGACAATTGAAATGGAGACTTACAGGAGGAATAACAGATAAGGGAGAGAGCCTTTCTGAGGGCGGTGCAACAGATGCAAAGGCGAGGAACTGTGAAGAGCAAGGTATGGAGCATTTGTCAGAGGGGAGCCAGGAGGTGTGCGCAATGAGTTCTAGAGGAGTGATGGGTTTACTCTTGCCTTCTTGGTTCAAAGTTTAGGAAGGCTGCTTGAGTAGCCAGATGAGGGGAAAGGTCTCAGGAAGACTTGGGAAGACAGCATGAGGTGGACCCCCCAGCCGTCTTCCAGCCCCAATCTGCCCATCTGCCCCTGCCCTATCCCACCATCTGCATCTGCTGTGGTCTTGTCAAGGGCTCCACAGAGAACACAATGCTGGTTGCTCCACTTGTTCAGTGCTTTATTGAAACAAGGCCCTAACAGATGACTCATCAGGGCCCTCAAGCACAGCCCTTCCCACATCCTGAGATTAAAAAGTCAGAGGTGGTTCTGACCTTGGTTTAGCTGCCACCTCGACATTTCCTCTTGAATATTTTCAAACCTTAAAGTGTAAAGATTTTGTCCAGACAGACACATATATACTCCTGCCGAAGGCTGTCACGCTCACTGAAATGCTTCTACCCAGTGGTTTATGTGGGAGGCGTTGTGCATCTACAGCTCTCCGTCCATTTATCATCCATCCATTTGTCCATCCATCTGTTCATTCATGACAAGACAGCAGCAAGTTCTCACAAGTCAGGCCCCAGGGTTCACAGCAGTGGGGGCTGGGCTTCCAGTGAGGTTAAGGACACAGACCTTAGCCCTCACCCAGGGGCCCCCAAGAATAACATCCCTTTCCGAGGCAAGAGAAGACAGGCCAAGTGGGTAATTAAGGTTTGAGTCCATAACCCCAACTGGACCGGGAGAGCCTAATGGGTAACTTTGGGTGGGGCAGCCCTCCCTTCAGGTGACCGCTTGACCACCTGTGAATGACCTGAGATGGGCAAAAAAATCAGACAGACAAGTCAGGCATGCAGGTAACACTGAAACAGGAAGAGTAAGAGCTTATGTTTGTGCTGGAGGTGTACGTAAGGAGGGACAGGAAAGAGGGAACGTGAAAGCAGGAACAGGCAGACACACAGAGGAGTGCTACTGAGGGCCAGGGCACAGCGCTACTCCTAGGGCAGGGAGGAGTGCGGCTCTGGCCCATCTTGGGGCTGTGGTTTCCCTCAGCCTCAAACATACAAACAAAGCCTCTAGGAAAAGGGGGACTTTTCTGGACACAGGGAGACAAAGGGTTAACCCGAACAAGGAAGAAAAAAAGCAAAAGATTCCTGTTGGACACAAAATACTTCCTTTGAGCTGGACATAATCCAATTTCACTGTCAACAGGCTGGGCTCTTCTAGGAGATAGGGTGTTGGTAGAGGAGAAGCACATGGGCCGATAGTCTTGGGGTTCACAGAAGGTCTAGGGCAGGATGGGGGAGGGCGATCAATATGGGGGAATGGGCAATTGGGGGGGCAGTCCTCCCTTCTCTTAGGGTGTTGCCTGGCCAAGCCCTTTCCCTGCAGTCCAGCCCTCCCCCAGAGGCCATGGCCACCCCTGCCTGCGGTACCGGGTGCTGCGGGAAGAACTCCTTGTAGCCGCCTTTGAGGATGTACATCTCAGGATAGTAGAGGCTGGGGTAGTCATTGATGGTTCGATCTCGCTCCCTGATGAAACGGCACCTGGGACCAATGGGTGTGGGAGTCAGAGCTGGGCGTGCACTAGGGTGGACCTCAGGGAACCTGTTCCCTGCACCCACTCCTTTGAGCGCCTTGGGAAGGCTCGAGCACCAAAGAGGCTGGGAGCACAGTCCGGCTCCTGAGCACCAAAGAGGCTGGGAGTTGGAAGGAAGAAGGAAAACCAAGGGAGCCTGTTTCTAGAAGGCAGTTGTGGAATCGTTGTTAGTGTTATCTGGCCTGGGCTGGGAAAGGGGAAGCAGAACGAAGAGAAGTTGCCAAAATTCAAGAGATCTGTTCAGGAGGTCTGGCCAAGACTCGGTGAGGGAAGGAAAGGACATCTGAACACCAGGAGGGTCAGTGTCACTGAGGACTGGGACAGGGTTTTAAGGACACTGCTGAAGGCTTGGGATCAGATTTGGGGGCGGGGGTGACAATGGGTAGAGGGTGCGGATTGATGGGAAGGACTGCAGGAGGGAGACGGGGAGGGTGCCGTGCACAAGGAAGCAGGGATGAGGTCTGCGTCCGGCGGTCAGATGAGCCAAGAGGCCCAGGCCAAGGAGGGGCTGGGCGCAGGCTCTTGGCCACAGGACGGCTCCAGCACCTACAAGCTTGGGCGGAGCTGGGACTCACATGCGGGGCCCACGCTCAGATGAGAATTCACAGTGGAAAATGAGGATGATCCTCTTGTCCAGGCTGCAGGGTGTGATGGGGCTCTGCAGCAGGAACATCTCGGCGTCCTGTTCCAGGGGCAGGTTCACAGCAGTCTGCAGAGTAGCCGGAGGTCAGGCCACTGCCCTGGGCCTGGCTGGCAGACCCCGCCCCTAGGCAGTTCCCATCTTTCCAAAGGGTGACCCCCACCTCTTGCTGGGCAGGACCCTTCCCCACAGGAGGGCGCCCCCACAGATGAAGGATAGAACTGGTGGGAGGGCGCCCCCACAGATGAAGGATAGAACTGGTGGGTCTTCAGCACCTCTCTGGTCACCCTGCCTCACCTTGATGTGCCCGCCTTCATACTCGTAGGGGTATCTGCAGTCCACAATCACAAACCTCTCCACGATGTTGCTGAACTTGCCCATCAGCAGGGCCACCATCTGTGGAGGCCACAGAGATGGGTTCCAGCAGGCCAGGGGTTGGCTCCTAACCCTGCCCTACCCAGAGCTTGCAGCCTGTTCTCAGCGAAGGTTAACAGACGAACCGCTCATCTGCACATACCGTTTCTGGTGAGATGTACTTGAGGTCTTGGTGCTTCCCATCCACAGTCTGTAGGAGGAAGGCCTGCATGAAGAGGGGAGAGAGAGAGAGCTTGAGAAAGAGAAGAGGAAGAAGGTGAAATGGGTAAGGTGAGGAGCAGGAACTGTCCACGGTGGTCACTGTCCAGGATATTCTCAATCTCGTCGTGACACAAGCCCAAGAGGCCACGCCGGATTCGACCTTCAAATTCAGCTCTGATTCCCATAGCAACCGAGAGGAGGCTTTCAGGTCTGGTGCCCCAGGAACAACCTTCCAAGGGGAAATGAAGGGGAGCAGAAGCGATAGACTCCTGCCTCTACCTCCAGTTCTGCCAAGCCCGGGAATGAGGCCCGAGGAGGGTCAAGCTAGACGTCTGTTTGGAAATGTTTTCCAAGGTGGAGACATCACTGATGCGTGGACACACGTGAGATAGAGTCAGGAGACCGAGTAGAGTCCAGGGGAGAGTAAAGGACGAGAGTATGCAAAGTTCAGAGCAATGGGGCCTCTGGTGAGAGAGGGTGGCACTGAAGCAGCTGCTGGGCTAGGGGGCTACAGCTGGCAAGGGGTGGAGCCTGAGGGTCTTGCCAGCTGGTACCTTAGAGTAATCCCCAATCAGTTCACGGTGGTCACTGTCCAGGATATTCTCAATCTCGTCGTGACACAAGGACTTGGAGCGAAGGACCCGGGCTTTCTGTGAGATAGATGGCAGCCAAGATCAGGGGGGAAGCTGCCCCTCCAGGCCCAGTCTGGCTGGTACCCCCCTTGCCTGCACCCTGGCTGAGAAGGGCTTGCAGGGTAGACTGGAAAGGTGGCAGCCCCGCCCCAGGAGGAGGGCTCTCACAGGTTCCTCGGCCTCCTGCTGCTCCTCCAGAGGGGTCACACTTTTCCTCCGCTTGTTCTGTACGGGCAGGTCCCTGTCCTGGGGTCGCTCTAGTCTCTTGAGGATGGGCCGGATCACACCGCAGGGCATGGACGGAGAGCGGAAGAGCCGCTGGCACTTGCTGTACATGATGAAGTCCTGGCAAGGGCAGTGGATCGGGGGTCAGAGTGCTCAGCTCCTGCTTTCCCCCAATCCCACCTAGAGGGTAGGGGGCCACCCCAGAAGCTCACCTGCTCCTCCTCCTTTTCCAAAGTCTTGACCAGGGGGGCACTAATGAGGCTCTCTATGCCTGGGGGAACTGAATCAGCGTCCTGAAGCCATATCAACAAGGATTTGGTCACACCAACAGGCACAGGCCAAATCCCTCAGGCCCCAGTCCTCCAGCGCAGCCTTCTCTGGCCTTGCCAGCACCTCCACACTGGGCAGCCCCCCAGAACCAGGAGGGCAGGGACCCTTCACTGCTGGGGCTTGCACAGAACCATGAGAAGTCATGCAGGGGCGCATTTCCTCCGCCCTGCCCATCTGCCCCTCACTGCAGCACCAGCCACCTGCTCTTCTCTGATTGGCCAGAGGTCAGGCTGTGACTCAGTTACCTCAGATCCTTCTGACATTGGGATGCGGTCATAGTCTTGCTCCAGGAGCTCAGAGCTCTCCTCTGGGACATCCCAGGGAGGGAGATGTAGGGGGCCTGATGGAGCAAGACTGCCTACCTCTAAGTCATCCTCCAGGATGTCCACAAACCCATCATCTTCGTCAGGAACTCCCTTGGTGGGGGTCAGGGGGAAGCGCTGGGCCAGGGGACTCAGCTCCTCTACTTCCATCTTCCGCTCAGGGGTGAGACACTTGTATGGGTGACGAACAGATGCAGGCTACTCAGTGGTGGGGACCCAAGGCAGTCCCCACCCTTCTCCTTCTGATAAAAGGTTCCCTTGCCTCAGGCTCAATCACCCTCCCACCCCCAGGCTGCCTTCGGGGGCACCTGCCCTGTGCGCCTGCCTGCCCTGCAAGGGTCAGCTCTCCCGATGTACCATCAAGTCGGGGGCCGAGCTTGGCCTCTGGGCAAAGGCTTCTCTGCGGTTGGCCCACTCGGCCAGAGCATGGGCGTTGGGGGGGGGGGGGGGGGGGGGAAGAGGTGGCGTCATCACATGCCAGAGCACCACCCAGCATGCCCCTCTCTCTCCCTGGAGTGGTCCCACTCTGGCCTGCGGGAAGCGCACATTCTCCTTATCCTCCTCAGAGCTGTGGGCAGTTTGGTCACGCGCCTCACTCTTCTTCCAGCTGCCAGGCGCTCGGGCATTGGTGATGTTCCGTAGCACAGGGCTGTGGCCCAGAAGCCTCACCTGGGGAGCCAGGGGAGCAGCAGGTACTGAAGGTTACCTTTCTCTGGCACCAGCCCAGGCCTTACCTTCTCCCATCCCTCCCCTGAATGCCCCTGTTCACCCATTCACCTCCCAAGGCCAGACCAGGAGTTGGGCCTTAGAACCCTCCTGCCCTGCCTCGAGGGCACTCACCGGCAAGGACTGGAAGCGTCGGATGGGGAACTGCTTGCTGCAGAAGGAAACAGGGACACATCAGGGCTGGAGAGTCTGGGACCGTCGTGGCGAGCATGCAGGATGCCCCTCCACCTGAGCCCTGAGCACCCTGCCCCTGCCAAGGGGGGCAGAGGTAGCCTATGATGGGTAGACCACCGGAGCCTGTGAGGGGAAGCCCAAGCACTTACCTTCGAACGAACCGGCTAGCTTCCTGGATGGCCTGCTCAAACCTAGGAGAGAGAAGGGTTCCATGCAGCCCACCTCCTACTACAGCCCACCACCCACCTCCAGCATCAGGTCCCCAGTCCACAAGACCTGAGGACCAGGGCGAAGGACAGTGGAAAGGGGAAGTAGAAAGAATGTCAACTATCTGGGGACCCAGCTATTGAGGAGGGGGGAAGATGAGAGTCAGCCTGGGATTTTAAAGGCTCCCTGAATGGAAGAGGGCCCAGAGAATGGCAGCAATGGAGACAGCTGGGGTAGGTCAAAAGGTGGCTGAGCGTTACCCAGACAACGGTCATGCCAGCCTGCCCACAGGCCTTCCACCTGTATGCAAATCACCTCAGCGGGGCCATATGGCCGCCAGGAAAGGCATTCATCCATCCCATGACAGGCCTTGGCCGACAATGTGGGTGTCTCCAGGGCCTGGATGCCAGCAAGGCTGGGCTTCCCTCCCCTTGTGTGGGGCTCTCTGGGCCCCCCCCCAGGACAGCGGTCTGGTTTAGTGTGCCCTTGGATCAGCCAGTTTGCCATGCCAGACCCCCTAGTGACAAATGTGTAGGGTTACACCCTCGTCTCCCTCCTGTGGAATTTTTCAGGACCCAGCCTCTGTCCCACCCCCTCCTCCTGCCTGAGGAGAGGCCAGCAGGCAAGGAATTCCAGCAGATGTTCCTTCTGAGGCCGGAGCACAGGCTTCTGTAGATAGGCCCCACCCCCTCTAGCTACGTTACCAGAGACCACCTGCCATGCAGGGCTTTGTGCATCTATGCGTACACTCACACACACACACATACGCTTCTTTCTGAGAAACTGTGTAACCGTCAAAGCAGGTGCAGCGGGGCAGGCACTGAGGACTACAATGTCAGGGGGTTGGGCCCCAGGGTGTAGGCAGGTGGCTGTGCCCAGACAACCTGGCATCAGGGATGACCAATTTCATAGGCTTGGCCTCCAATCTGCACCCGAGCCTTGGGGTAAAGCAGAGACAGCTTGTTGCCACCAAAACCTAACCTGCAGGCCCTCCGCCCAATTCTCTTCTCGTTTCCTGTTTGTGAACAAAAACCGTGTAGCCCAGCCTAGTCTGATCAAAGGCCGTGGGAGGAAAAACAGCCACTGCCCTAAACTCAAAGCCATAGTCCCCCAGCCCGGGCGGGGGATGCCCAGCTGTTCTCACTAATACCTGGCAGCTGCTCCCCCTGCAGAGGCTTGAACAGCTGGATGGGACAGCTGTACTCTAGAAAGTACTACTCCTGCCCCACAACCAAGGCGGGTGGGATCTAGCCCACCAGCTCCCTCTCCAGTCCATCTCTCAAAGAGCCTGATCCAGGGGTGGACAAGAGGGTCAAGTGTCAATGAAGCCAGAGGTTGCTGATAGGATGGCTGAGAGCCAAACCAGCCTGTAGCAACTATTTTGTGTGGCCTAGAGTGACAAAAGTTTTGAATTAGTTGGACCATGTTTTAAAATTGTGGTATTTCACACACACACACACACACACACACACACACACACACACACACGTATAGGCAGAAAGGAAAACAGGACGCATACCAGCCTATGTTCCCATAAGGGCTGACTGGCATCAAGTATCTGCTGCTCCCAGAGGCCGCTGTCCCCACTACCCTGGCCCTGAGCCTACTCTCACATGCTCCTGTGAGAACTGACCCTTCTCTGAGACAGGGAGCAAGCAAGATCCCAGAACTTAGGAAGGTCAATTAGTCCTCCCATATGGGGACCCAGGGGGGTCTGTCCACTCTCCCAGGCTTCCCCAGTGAGTGTATGCTACAGCTGGGATTCCCAAAGGCAGGTGCCAAATCCTGGAGTGGGGATGCCTCTTCTTTACTCACGTCTGCTCCGCCATCTGGGGGTCCATGGGGCTGGGAGAATCCATGCAGAGCCCTGAGGGGACAGAGTGCTTTGGTTTGAAAGTAGTGCCATTTTCTGTACTCTCCCCCACCATGTCCCAACCCTATTCAGAGAAGGGAAAAAAAACTGTTTCTATTTTAAATATCGACACATTAAAAAAAATGCAGCAAAACCCACCCATGGACCCCAACAGCCCAGGCTGCCCCCCAACTGTCCAGGGCTCCACTCCCTATTTGCTATGAAAACACTTCTACATGGGTTGTCAATCAAAACTTCGTTAAGCATTTTTCTTGAACTGGTTTAAGATAATCTGTTCTGGAAGAGATCACAGCTTTTTAAAAGGAGGATTCTATAGCTGGGGGCAAGTGAGTGTTATAAAATAACCAGCTTTCCATCCTAATGCCTCCCAGGTGGGGCTGTGGTTCAGGGGCTTTGGTTTTAAATAGGTGAGATCTCATCTCCTGCAGAGGGCCCCGCCCAACCACTGGTTCCGCCTGGATGTGGTGAGCCCAGCCCCAGCCAGAGGAGGGCAGGGGAGGCTTCTCAGACCTCCCGGTTGTTGGAAGGACATTAGTCTGATTGGCAGGGAAATGAGGAGGCTCAGGCAGCCCCCCAAAGTCCCCTGGCACCCCTGGGCCTCACCTGCATCAGAAGATTCAGAGGACTCAGACGACAGGGAGGATGCTGATGCTCGCCGCGGGGACAGGGATAGGCATGTGAGCAGGCTGCCTACCTGACTCTTTGGGGCCTCCCTGGGAAGGGAGCAGGGACCCAGGGAAGTAGAAAGGTAAATGGGGGGTTCAAGGGCTGGCTGGCCCATGTTCCCACCAGCCACCCACTTCTGAAGGGCCCATCCAGCATCTGCACTGCCCCAAGGTAGGCGATGGCATGGAAAACCTGCCCTCTTCTCCGTAGGCCGGCTCCTACAGAGGCCCTAAGCGTCTTCTCTTCGTTGGTTGGTTTAAGAAAGATCCTCCTGGGTACAGGGGGAGGTGAGCCCAAGACAAGAGGAGGGAGCTGGGCTGGGGATCATCCTGGGGGTGATCCTGGGGATGGGGCAGTAGAGCAGCCTCCAGGCAGCGGTTCTCAACCTGTGGGTCTCGACCCCTGGAAATACATCCTGCATCTCAGATATTTACATGACGATTCATAACAGTAGCAACATTACAGTTATGAAGTAGCAACGAAAGTAATTTTATGGTTGGGGGTCACCACAGCATGAAGAACTGTATTAAAGGGTCGCGGTATTAGGAAGGTTGAGAACCACTGCTCCAGGGCCTTTAGGCTCCTACCCATCCACAGGCCTTCCTAAAGGGAGAGCCAAACTTGGGGTTCTGCCGCTGGGAGGACAACCCAGCCCGGACCCTGCAGGTAACTCAGGGAGCAGGACCAGTGTTTAACCCTTTAACCCCCAGGAAGGAACTAGGGGTAGAGGGAGCAGGGGCAAGGGACCTAGGAGAACTGGATTGCTCTGCCTTCTAGTTCCCCTCCGGGCTCACGATCCCCTGCCTGGGGCAAAATGGTGGCGACAGGGGCAATAGGGAGGCAGCATGATGGAGGCACACTGAGGGAGGAGGAGGAGGGGAAAAGAGGATCTTCAGAGTCTGGTGCCGAATAAGAACAGGTCACCTAGAGGGTGTAAGCCGCACAGTCCCGGCCTCTCCGCCCTTGTCCCGGGTCCCCAAAGCAGGCTCTCCCCGGGATGCCTCCTTACTCGCCTCTCGGATTCGGATCCCATGGGGGGGTTCCCCAGGAGGCCCGGGACCAACACCCTAGTGCCGACCTCTCACCCCACACCCGGCCTCCTTGGGGCGCCCTACCTGCCGAGCCCAGCCAGGTCGTGCATGGTCTGGGTGAGGGTGGCGACCGGCGAGAAGGTGGCCGCGCGCTCCGGGGAC